TTTATCGCTGGTGCGCAAATGAGTGCCGTGAAAGCTGTCGGGTGAGGGGGTATAATTGCTCTTAACCCTTGGACAGCGACGAGAAAACATGGTAGTGTCGAAGCAGCTCGTTGATCTTGTCCACAGCCGCATCAAGTCGCCGAATACGTCAAGCTTTTTAAGATAATGCTGTGCGAGAACGCACTGCCGGAAGTTCCGGTCGGGAGATCAAACCAAACTAAATCTAAATACCTCTTGTCATATTATACGTCTATTTTGTGCAAATGACGTATTCGCAGTCATTTCTGATTTTTTTTCTTTAATACTCTATCGCCTGTTGAAAATTTTTTAAGAAAAAAAATCAAAAATCGTGATTTGGTGGAAACGAAATTAATATGACGTGCCAATGACGTTCGTTAAAAACAATCACGTCACAACAGAATATTCTTGACATGTAAAATATTACGAACTATAAAAAAAACAAAAAAAACAAGTCCCTTTTTTTTTTACGTATGAACAGAAAGCTTAAATCAGGCAGCGATGGAAAAAGAGATTCGGTTTTTTAATCGGCATATCAAACAGAGAGAGATAAAAACGCATCCGTCCGGAAAATTACGTCATAGTTTGCCATTGAAGTGTTTTTTTTTTCTACGATGAAGGTGCTGATGGACAAACAGGGAACAGAACAAAAAAGTGATAACAGAAAGGTGAGTTCAAATTCCGACCAAGACAGTTTGTGTTCAAATCGCGCTAATTCCTTTGGGAAAGGTCACGAATGCATTTTTTTTCTCACTCCGCCTCTAGATCTGGATTAAATAACAGAATATTTAGCGTTCGAGAGCAAATGTGTTCAGGTGGGTAATCCTGAGCGAAAGATCTCTGAAAAGGGAACGGTAAATCAATGAATCATATTTTCCCAGTAAAAAAAATCGGAATGCTGTAGGAAACAATAATCTGTTGCGGCATTCACCTAGGATCGGTTGAGCCGGCTCCGTCAAGCGAACCCGCTGCATTCCAACGAATGCTGAACAAGCGTAGAAGTGGTCGTGTTCATTCAGACATGCAAATCTATAGCGGGAGTTTCAGTAGGAATTTGGATTAACAAGCGGTCCCCAGCCTCATGTATACAGACTTCTACGATAGTACGAACCGGTTTGAATTCAGAATGTCCTTCTTCTAGACTGGTTGCTATCCAAGACTATTTTACCCATAGCTGGCGGAGATGGCTTGATATATTTCCCAAGTATATTAGCACATAACGAACACGACTGGAATTCGAAACCAACTCACCGATTCCACAATCCGAACCGCTAACCATGACTCCATCGTGCTTCTGGGAAGTTAAAGACGAGGAACGTCTGATTTCGAGTGATTTATTTTATTGGGCGTTAACAACTTTCTGGCATTCGCAGACTTCTGACTACCCCCTCCTTTCGCCCAGTCGTTTCTACCTTCCCAAACTTCTGACTACCCACTCCCTTCACCAGGTCATTTCTACCTCTCCAGAGTTCTGGTTAATCCTCTCTTCAACCGATTGTTTGAGCCGGCTCCGTCAAACAAACCCGCTGCATCCGAACGAAAGATGAACAAGCGTAGAAGACGTCGTAATCATTCGGATGTGCAAATCCATAAAGTTTCATTGGGAATTTAAATTCACAAGGGTCGCCAGCCGCGTGTATAAAACAATATTAGGAGAATGCGCACACACACAACCTGGGTTTTGTAATAAGTATAACTCGATATGAGTTGTTCCCCTTTCATTCTCGCGATGCCTCTTAATCGTGTTTTCAAATTGATTTCGTGCAAAAACAATTGTGTTTTTCCAATTTTGGGCGCTGTCAGAAACACCGCAAGGTAATTTTACGTAGTCCTGTGAAGTTTTGTTAAAATCGATTGAAAAATGTAGGAAATCCGATCCCATATATAAACGAACACACACACACACACACACACACACACGCACACACGTACACACACACACGCACGCACACACACACACACACAACCTGGGTTTTATAATAAGTATGATATATGATATATATATATATATATAGAGAGAGAGAGGGAGAGAAAAAGAGAGAGAAAGAAAGAGAGAGGGGGGAGAGAGAGAAATATTTGTTTTCCTCTTGATTTTATAAAGGAAAGTAAAAAAGAAATGTCCAAAGTGTCATCTCCCCCTCTCTTCTTGCTTTCTTAGCGGTGGAGATCATAAATCCAAATTTTAATAGTTTGGTAGTTTCCTTTGCGTTAAATTTTCCATGAATATTCATTGATAATTCATAGACAATCGATAGCAGTAACCGTATCGATTATGCTCGCAGCATGTTTATAAACACCGTGTCTAGTTTAATACTCTTTGGAAAATTGTTCGATCCAATGCTGTTCGATTAGTCATTCAGTTTGTAAGCCACACTCACCCCCACCCCACCCCTCCCTAAATCAACCAATTTTTTTTTTTTTCTACAAATGTTTTGACTCTCACAGAGTTTCAAGACATAGAATAAAATGTAAAATCGCCAAACATCCTTGTAGGAAAAGCTAGCAATGCTTTAGTATAAATAACGAAAGATTTGTTTATATTTTTTTTTAGATGAGGTATTGTAACTATTTACACTATTTACATTGTTCGTGCTGTTGTCCTCATCTTTATTGTCATGTTTCGGCTCCGTCCTTCTTCATGTGATATATGTTGGAATTTGAACCCTTTATTTAGTTCACTGGGGTAGTTTGTTCTAGTTCCACGTGCCATGCCTCTTCCAGATATCTCAGTTTCAGTTATTTGCCTTTACTGACCCAACCTTTTCGTTCATTAAATATTGTTTTCTTTATTGAACTCACAAATCTTTGTGGTCAAGTCACTGGATTACTTCAAAGAATTTTTTTTTTTTATCCACTTGGGTACATCAATGTATAAATTTTGGGGACTTATAAACCTCACCCTTCACACACACACCCAAAAAAACTTGTTGATTTGTTACGAAAAGGGAAATAACTGAAACTGAAATATCCAAAAAAAACAAAAAGGCATAGCACGTGGAACTAGAACAATCTACCCTGGTGGACGAAATAAAGAATTCGGTTTGAATTTCCAAAGTATATCATCTGAAGAAGGCCAGAGCGTACAACTGCCGAAACATCGTGAATACAAAAATAAAGATGAGGAAAACAGCCCGAATAATGTAAATAGTTAGAAATAACGAAATATTTGTCAAAAAAATAATATGTTTAAAATGGTGTTTGCTTCCAAACATGGCACTCGGAATTACTTTTTTCTTATACATTAATAATAATATTAATAGTAATACATCGACTCAGTCAATGAGTTAATCTATGATTTTGTCAATGACAGCATAACATGTGATACCCAGATCTATATACAGTTTTGATTTCAGTGTTATCCATCTCCTAGACTGGCTACCAAACATAGCGAGTCCAGTGTGTATGTCTTTCCAATGTGTATTAGTGAGAAAGTGAATGCTCGTTCGCTGATTTTGTTTTCCAGATCGACAATCATTACGATTCCCTCACATTTAATATAATGATAGAGCTATCTAAATTATGGCTGTTTGGAATGAAGGGGTCATCTCCGTGCTTACTAAATTGGAAAAACACAGTTTAAATCAATAAATGCCAATTATATCGATTAAGTATCAGGTCTTGTTGACAAAAACATCCGGGATATTTGTTTACAAAAAAAAAAAAATTTAAAAAGATGTTATAATGCATTATGAATGCTTATTATTTTTCACACAGATAATAGTTGGAACAATATATGTAAGTGTTTTTGTTTATATATACGGATTTATGTAAGAATGTGGATCGAAAACAGATATTGAATTTCCTATTTCAAAAAAAAAAAAAAAAAAAAAAAAGACAGAAAACGTCCCTAGCTGAAGAACCCCTTGTCTAATTTTAAGGAAATTCGGCACTGTACAATATAGTCCTAATCGTTTAAGTCATATCTCGGGAAAACATATATAATTAGAGGTTTAGTATTATGTAGATTATTGCTTTTTGCCCTGTATTATGTATTTTTTTACATTTTACGTTGAATCTGATATATTTAACTTTCAATATATATATATATATATATATATATATATATATATATATATATATATAGTCTGAGAGAAAGGATTTCCGAAATTGATACACCTAGCCCAAGATCGATAACTTATAATCATTCATTTATGATAAAATAACGCTATAAAGAACTTAATAATGTGGGAATGAAAGATGAGATGGTAAATCTCAAGGGAGAGAACTCTGTAAGACTGATTCAATTACCAGTATGAAGTGGTTGGGTCTACAAAAGTGTTGCATAAATCTATCTCTCGAATGACTTTTTTCTCAAATATTCCAATTATTTAAATCTGATTGGTTTTAAGCAAGGAAAAAAATGCATATATTTCAATATAAAAAAAAAGGAAATAATCATAATGTTTGTTCAATAAAACTTAATATGACACATGACCAAATGTTGAGACAAAAATTAGGAAGACTATGTTGCGCTAATCTTCCAACTGATAAATATTTGAATATTTTGTTCTTTTAATACCCTGTTCTTTTATTGTTTTATCGCCTTAATAATGTTTTTTTTTCTTTTTCTCATAGTCTTTCACACTGTGTTAACCCTTGCGTCTTAGTGGCTTTATTGTCTTGCTTGGTGTGAACTTAATTTTTTAAAAAGTTATAAGAATTGTTTAGTTGAGCTCCATTCATACTTACCTCCCAGTGTAGAGATTTACATTAATTGATTGATTGATACCTTTTTTACGAGTTATCAACCCTTTGTAGGTTATTTTAAATCAGAAAATGTTTTTAAATTGTAAGAACATTTTTTTTAAATAATAATGATTTAGTGATACAAGTCTTGCTAATTAACCCATAGCTGGGGAGAGAAGAGGTGAATTCATACTTTTTCTCAAGGGTACACGCGCGTAAAATAACGATATGGTATTGGAACTAGGCTCTCCGATTAACAATTCCGCGCTATTATATTACCCGCACATCCAAGCTAAACACTTGGTAATCCTAAGTGGTCACCCATCTGGGTACTAAACAGGCTTGACGCTGCCTAAATTCGGTGATCGTACGGGAACCGATGTTTCAACGTGATACGGCCGTAAGACCGTTTACATCCAGGACGCACTTTGTCGGTGCCGAATCATAATTATTTCTTCCGTTTTCCAAATTTGAAGAAGAAAAATTTCCAGCTCGATATTTTCCAATAGCCGCTACTTTCAAAACAGACTCCCGCGTGTATGCTTCCCTGAACGGTACAATCTTAACTGCTTCAAGTGAAGAATCAATTTTTTTCTCTTTCCTTCTCATCATAATCGCAAACCTTCAAACGCGTGATAATAGTTTGTTTTGTTTTAAGACATATCAAACTCAATGGCTTATTTAATGCCGACAAGAATTTTAGGATAGATTCGTATGAGCAGAATAAATTTTCTTTGATACAGTTTGCTTTGTTTTTGTGTTGACGGAAGTCATAGGTGGACTAAATGACCTAATCAAGAATCGTTCCTTCATTTTCCCGTATATTTACTTTGACGATCGAGTTGATCAGAGAAGTTGTTTTACATGTTACTAAGAATGATATCGCATGGACATCATGTGGGCGCGCAAAATATCCCACTAAAAAGATAGATAGATAGATAGATAGATAGATTTCAAGGAACAGATTGATTTAAAAAAACTAATATATATATATATATATATATATATATATATATATATATATATATATAGAGAGAGAGAGAGAGAGAGAGAGAGAGAGAGAGATTTCAAGGGACTAACAGATAGATAAATAGATAGATAGATAGATAGATAATGAAAAATAAGGTAGATAAATACGATACGACTAAGATTTATATATGTATATATATATATATATATATATAGAGAGAGAGAGAGAGAGATTTCAAGGAACAGATTGATTTAAAAAACTAGATATACATAGAGATTTAAAGGAACTAATAGACAGATAGATAGATAATGAACAGGCACAGATAGATAGATAGATAGATAGATAGATAGATAGATAGATATGAAAACACTAAGGTAGATAGATAAATATGAAAAAACACACACATACATATATATATATATATATATATATATATATATATATATAGAGAGAGAGAGAGATATGAAAGCACTAAAGTAAATAGATAAATATGAAAACACACACACACACATATATATATATATATATATATATATATATATATAGAGAGAGAGAGAGAGAGGAGAGATATGAAGGATAGATAGATAGATAGATAGATAGATAGATAGATAGATAGATAGATAGATAGATTTGAGGGAAGATAGCTACCTAGCTAGCTAGCTAGCTAGCTAGCTAGATAGATAGATAGATAGATAGATATGGAGGAATATGAAAAGATAGTTGAGAGTAAATTTAGTTATATACATATAATGGCTCTAACTATGGGGTCCAAGAAGACAGAAAATATAGTCATCAGCAGGAAATAAAGTCCAAGATACGGCTTACAAATTGCAGATGCCAGCATCAAACAGTTGCAAAAGGTTAAATATCTGGGAAGCGTTTTAACGTAGGGTGGGAAATGTGTGACCAAGATGCGAACACGCATTGAACTCACGAAATATCGACATCGGTATGGCGATAAACTACACCTGGCAACAAGGCCTCTGAATTGCAGATTTGGGGCCACGTGGAGCCACGTCTTAATTGCTGTTGTTCCCAGTTTCACTCTGAGCTAGGCTGTTAGCACCCGTTAAATTAAAAAAAACTGCGGTCAAATTTTTACGAACGTATAAAAATACATTTTTATAGTAAGAATACCAACAATGCATTTATCTATTAAAAATAAAAATATACCAACAATACATTATTCAAAAAGGAAAAGAAAAATGACCAAAGCTCCCAAGTAAATTACATTTCGGCATTACATGACCCATAAGGTGTTGATATGCCGTTACCCCTCACCATTGATAAAACAGATAAAAATCATTAGAATCAAAGAAAAGCTTACTGGATTGTTATGTAATATCGATCTTCTTCTACGTTGGACAATTTCACCACGGATGATGGGGAAAAAATAGAGGGAGTAGAAATATTGTTTTACAGAAGGATACTGAGAATTCTATGGATGGAGCGAGTAAGCAATACAGAAATCTAAAAAAAAAAAATTGGCAACAGAAAGAACATTTATACTCAGAATCAATAAGAGATAGCTGAAATCCCTTGCGGATATAATGAGGAAGGAGGGTTTGGAAAACTTAACCCCCACAGGGCATACTGAGGGCAAGAGAGATAGAGGAAGGCATCGATACACTTACCTGACAAGCTTATGTGAATGAATAGGGGGAACGAGGTGGGAGTTTAGCAAATGGAAAAAAAAAACTACGAACGGCCACAATAAAAAAGAAGTTGGGGAGAACCATGATCGCCTATAGGCAAGAATAATCTAACGATAATTATTACTACTACTTCTATTAGTAGTAGTAGTAGCAGGAACAGCAGCAGCATGGCTATTAATAATAATTCAACCCAAAAATGGACTACAGAAAATGAACCCATCATATGCGTGTGTCCTTAATGTATGCCAGGGGGTCGGCAACCTACGGCACGCGTGCCATATGTGGCACGACATGAAATAACCCATGGCACGCTGCCGCAAATGACATCACGCAGTCCGAACCAATAACTACAACTCAAAGAAGATATTTAGCTGTTTCAAAACTGCTCGCTCGTTGGACTCCCATTAATAAACTTAAAAATAAAATAAAAAATTAAAAACAGTTTATTTCTATTAATGTGGTTTACAAATTATTGCATATATAAGTATATAACATATATTTAAGAACAGGTATATTGACCTTGACTTGTATAAAAAAAAAACCTATGCTGTTGGCACACTGAATTGTTTTAAAGCCCTAAGTCGGCAAAAAGTCAGCAAAAAGGTTGCCGACCCCTGACATACGCGATTTATACATATTTATGGGACAGTTTGGGGACATTGGGTAGTTTGAGCAAACTCCTATAATCTGGAATATATTTCGGCTTGAAATAACGCATAATGGGTTGATAAGACAAAATATTTATCAACCAATCAGTTCTCGTTTCATCATGGAAGGGATTTTGATTGGTTCTGGCCACTTGGTGTCTTTATTTGGGGTGAAGAAGTCGATTGAATAAATAAAACTGTCAACGTTAGAAATATTTTCGTTAAGACTCTCAGCTCAAAGCGAATATTCACATGAATAATTATATATATATATATATATATATATATATATATATATGTATGTGTGTGTGTGTGTGTGTGTGTGTGTGTGTGTGTGTGTGTGTGTGTGTGTGTGTGTGTGTGTGTATGTATGTATATTGAAATCAAAAATTAATGTCCAAAGGGACTCAATCTCGTATGCCTCTATCTCTGGGGATTTGTCTGGAATATTTTGGTCCCGGAGTCACGTCGGTAAGTGACCTACTCAAAGTTTATTTTTCCTGGAAATTCTACTTGCTTTGCGACCGTAGAGTAAACAAAAAAAAAAAAAAAAAAAACGACCGCAGCTTTGCGTTAAATCGCAACAATGCGAAAAACAAAATATATGTAGTAAAAAAATTAACCATCACATGAAAAAGAATCAAAAACCTACCATGTCGAAAAAACTCATCAGTAAATAATTTTTCGTTTTTAATACAACTGCTTTAGTTTAAACCCGCAAAAAGCAAAAGCGACCTGAAAGTCAAATTAAAAATTTAACTTTTATATGCTGATATACATGAATATACCTGTCTATCCTCTCTTTCTCTCTCTTTCGCTCTCTCTCTATCCATCTATCTATCTACCTATCAATGTATATATATATATATATATATATATATATATATATATATATATATATATATAATATGACATTGAATTATTTTATGTATTTGCCCTACTTAGGGTATTGAACACTTTACGTTTTATCTTAGTTACTCAATTGGTTTTTTTTTCTTCTTTGACTGGAAACTTAACGCACTAGACGATTTTTTCGCCCTTTTCGGATCTTCCTCGTTCTTTTTTTTTCACCAACCAAGTATAGTTACTAGTACAATATATATATATATATATATATATATATATATATATATATATATATATTATCATACAGACTCAGGTACGGTGGACTGGTCATATCTTGAGAATGTCTGATGACAGGATACCCAAGATCCTAATGTACAGCCAGTTAGATCAGGGCTACAGGAATGTAGGACGCCCATGGCTGAGATACAAAGACAAGCTGAAAAGCAACTTGTCAGCAGTCAATATACCACATAACACCCTTGAGCGATTAGCCTTGGAGCGGGTAGAATGGAGATCAACGTGTTTTAGGGGACTCAGCAGTTTTCAATCTGCTTGTCTGAATCATCTTCAAGAAGCGAGAGCAAGATCTAAAAGGTCAGCTAATCTAACAAGTGATCTCATCTCACAATCTTCACACTTGCTCCATATGTGGCCTCCTATGTAAATCACTAGCGGATCTTAAATGCCACTTAACATAACCGCACAAACTTTCATAACTGAATCAATAAGCAGTCAGATCTTCATACGTCGAAAGCGACGGGAGAGTCATTATATATATATATATATATATATATATATATATATATATATCCACATTATGAAATGGACAATGCCCGACAATTATTTTAAGACGTTTCCTATAAAAAGAACGTAGAAACATAATAATGTCTTTTATATATATATATATATATATATATATATATATATATATATATATATATATATATATAAATTAAAGAAAAACAGATCACTTTAAGGCTCCATTACTTATAATTTATTTCACTAGAATTTTTTTTTTTTCTCTGGATTTACAAACTTCACTTTCAAAGGTGAATTTAAAAAGTAAGTAAAGTGAATTTAAAATTTACCTATTTGAATGGCAGTATTAAGCTTATATATGGTGACATAGAGGGTGGTGAGGAATAGTGTGAGAGACATCGTCGAGTTTAGAGCCGGAAGGGAGTGTTTTAAAATTTATTTTTATTTTTTTAGATTTCATCCTCCTTGGGATTATCCATACGATTAACAAGATTTTCGTTACTGATATATATATATATATATATATA